TCCGATACCGATTACCAAAGTATACCTTCAGGTCACTACGTCAAGTCCGGTGTTAAGGACTCATCATACCTAACAAAACGAGCCCAACCTCGGCACACCTAGTAGTACTCAGCGACCAGTTCCAATAGCGATTATCAAAGTACACCTTCAGGTCACTTCGTTAAGTCCGGAGGTAAGGACTCATCATACCTAACAAAACGAGCCCAAACTCGGCACACCTAGTAGTACTCGGGGACCATTTCCAATAGCGATTACCAAAGTACACCTTCAGGTCACTCCTTGAAGTCCAGAGGTAAGGACTCATCATACCTAACAAAAAGAGCCCAAACTCAGTACACCTAGTAGTACTCAGCAACCAGTTCCGACACCGATTACTAAAGTATACCTTCAGGTTACTCTGTCAAGTCCGGAGGTAAGGACTCATCATACCTAACAAAACGAGCCCAAACTCAGTACACCTAGTAGTACTCAGCAACCAGTTCCGATACCGATTACTAAAGTATACCTTCAGGTTACTCTGTCAAGTCCGGAGGTAAGGACTCATCATACCTAACAAAACGAGCCCAAAAACGACACACCTAGTAGTACTCGGCGACTAGTTCCAATAGCGATTACCAAAGTACACCTTCAGGTCACTCCGTCAAGTCCGGTGTTAAGGACTCATCATACCTAACAAAACGAGCCCAACCTCGGCACACCTAGTAGTACTCAGCGACCAGTTCCGATAGCGATTATCAAAGTACACCTTCAGGTTACTTCGTTAAGTCTGGAGGTAAGGACTCATCATACCTAACAAAACGAGCCCAAACTCGGCACACCTAGTAGTACTCGGGGACCAGTTCCAATAGCGATTAGCAAAGTAGACGTTCAGGTCACTCCGTGAAGTCCGGAGGTAAGGACTCATCATACCTAACAAAAAGAGCCCAAACTCGGTACACCTAGTAGTACTCAGCAACCAGTTCCGATACCGATTACCAAAGTATACCTTCAGGTTACTCTGTCAAGTCCGGAGGTAAGGACTCATCATACCTAACAAAACGAGCCCAAAAACGACACACCTAGTAGTACTCAGCGACTAGTTCCAATAGCGATTACCAAAGTACACCTTCAGGTCACTCCGTCAAGTCCGGTGTTAAGGACTCATCATACCTAACAAAATGAGCCCAAACTCGGCACACCTAGTAGTACTCGGCGACCAGTTCCAATAGCGATTACCAAAGTACACCTTCAGGTCACTCCGTCGAATCCGGAGGTAAGGACTCGTCATACCTAACAAAACAAGCACAAACTTGGCACACCTAGTTCTACTAGTCCAGGTGTTCCAGTATTAGTTACTGAAGTTCACTTTCAGGTCACTCCACCAAGTCCGAAGGTAAGGTCTTATCATAACTGATAAAACCAGCCCAAAGTCCACAGCTAACTTCTCAGTGCCAGCAGAGGGCTCCCAGTGCAAAGCAGTCTCTAGAGTAGGTATTCGTATTTCGTAACTAAGTCTAATTACTCTATGTATCTAAGTATATTTTTGAGGTGTAAGAAATCAAAAACAAATTCGATCTTTCAAATTATCAAAATAATTTTATTTGACTACGATTCCCGCAGCCAACCGTGCGTACACTAGTGTGCGTGACTCATGTCAATGTAATAGTTCGATTCTATACCTATATCAATTTTGTAAACGCGTCTTTAAAAAATCTTAACGTAATTACTGCGGCAAAAAGAGCGACACGTCTCTACAGCACCAGGCCTCGGCCGGCATATATTAGTCTTGGGCCGGCGGACTAGCTTGCTACATATTTATTTATCTAGCAGTGACTGCACAGGCGTTTACGCAAACATTCGTACGTATTATTTCAGAAATAAGAATATGCGATTTAAAAAAAAAACTATTAGTTGGACTAAAAAATAAAAACACTATAACGTTAATATGTTGAATGTATAAAAAACTGACAAAAAATCAGAATGATTGCATGTATACTAGTATGGTTTTTACTAGTTAAAATAAATTTTTAGAGGTATGTTTGTGATTTTTTTCTATCGTATTAAGTTAGTGGTATCATGTTTTCAACACACTATCTAACTAGCATATATCCTGGACAATATCATATATTATTTTGGGTTTGTTTACTGCAGTGGATCATATACTTTGGGGCATTATAAAACTTGCTTTTAGGGTCATGCCTTGTCTTAAGAATTTGGTCGCTAAATTTGAATCGACAGGCTCGGTACAAAATGTGCCAACACCAACGCGTGTTCGACAGGGTCGTTCAACCGAAAACATCGCAGCCGTGAGCCACAGTGTTGAAGAAGATCCAAATTTGTCAATTTCTCGACGTTCTCAACAATTGGGGTTATCCAAAACCACCACATGGCGAATTTTGCGTAAGGATTTGGCTTTGAAGCCTTACAAGGTTCAACTGGTGCAGGAATTGAAGCTGACCGACCATTCACATCGCCGTAGATTCGCTCAATTCATTTAGGAACAGCCCGCTGGTTTTTCTGAAAAAATCATTTTTTCAGACGAAGCCCATTTTCACTTGTCAGGGTACGTCAACAAGCAAAATTGCCGCATTTGGGCTTCTCAAAATCCTAAAGCGATTATTGAGAAGCCTTTGCATGCTCAACGTGTCACTGTATGGTGTGCTATGTGGTCTGGAGGCGTGATTGGGCCGCTTTTTTTAGAAGATGAGGCTGGAAATGCGGTAACGGTCAATGGATCACGCTATCGCGAGATGTTAACATTTCAATTTTGGCCTATTATTGATGACATCGATATCACAAACTTGTGGTTTCAACAGGACGGTGCTACATGTCACACAGCCAACGAAACGATCAATTTATTGCAAACCAAATTTCCCGATCGCATAATTTCACGAAATTCGGCTGTTAAATGGCCAGCCAGATCGTTTGATTTAACACCACTGGATTATTTTTTGTTGGGGGCTATGTTAAGGACAGAGTCTATACGGAGCCAATCGAATCGATCGCGGCCTTAAAACTCAAAATCCGTGACGTGATTAACGAAATAGACCCGCCATTTTGCCAAAAATTGATTAAAAACTTTGATGAAAGAATCGACATCTGTCAGCGTGATCATGGTGGACATTTGCCAGATATCATTTTTCATTCATAATTACCAAACTTTTCTATTCGTAATCCAATAAAAATTTGAATCATCTTCATCATCATCTAAACTCTTTGTTTTATTTTGTTTTAGAAAACAAAGTTCTTGTTGAAAAACCTTGTATATTAGTGATAGATGAAATGAAAATAAAACAATTGACGGAGTACCATGCAAGTTCTAAAAGACATTTTGGTTATATACATAATGCCTTTGGCTACTAGCATGGCATTCTGTCAATTGCTTAATTTTCATTTCATCCATTACCAAGATACAACAAAAAAGTTTATCAGGGTTACTCTCCGCTCTCAATTTTAATGCCGTCAGCGCTTCTTGAGTAAACCCTGGTCGGCGATCGATGGTAGTGTACCACTTAGTCAATATACGGGTGCAGGCAAACATGTTCCGAAAGTTTTACGTACATAGCGATAGGCTTTTGGTGAGTAATATTTAAGTGTTAGGGCATAGTATTTCTTACAAACTTGTGAAACCTGTTTATGCTATTGTTTTTTATGTCAAGGCATTTTTTCATTTTAATTTTCCTTGGCCTAAGTGTTGGCTCGTGGGGAGTAGGACTGTTGTTGTTGAAGCTTAATTTCCGAATCATAGACATGGAGGTTGCCTCCCCGACTGGAGATCTCCCCTTTCCCTTCACGGCCACGTGGTGACCCCGACGTGATCTGAACACGCAAAACACCTTCGGAAAATTCAAGCTTCATCATGTCATAGAATACATTCGCTCCCGAGCAGATATCGTTGTTATGCAAGCCATTGAGGTTCATCGCAGCACTGGAATAATTGCTTCCTGTTTTATATCTTGTGCATACAGTGTTGCACGGCGAGCGTTACTTTACGGCACTCTCGGATTCTTTCGCTACCGTACAGGCAATCTTACTCATTTTTATCGGGGGATGTGCGGTATTATATATATTTTATTTTCGATATATATATATATATATATATATATATATATATATATATATATATATATATATATATTTATATGATAAAGATATAGCGTACAAAAATTATACTACATTAAGTTGGTACTAAAACTGATGAAGCTTATAATACGAATAAAAAATATTCGTATTTATTTTTATAATATACCAGCAGATTTGTCTCATAAAAAATCTTTAAATTCGCAATGAAACATATTGAGGTAAGTTTTAGCAATCGATATACATTTACAAAATTTAAATAATATCGGTTGAACAGTTTCCGAGATAAGCCTGAACGAACATCGAATCTGGTTGTTTTTTCTTGTGGAATTTATGAAAACTGCCTCGAAGTTACAGGAAAAAATCCTAGTGTAAAAGTAACGTTTATTTCAAAAGAAGTGAAAGGAAACATCGCCAGGAAACTGTCGCGTCTAAATAAAAATATCTACCCTGTGCACACTCAAACACTCTCATGGGAAAAGACCGCAGCCTCTGTGGGAATTATGTAGGCTGCTGCTTACTTAAATAACTTTATTATGTTAAGGTATACCGTGTAGTGGCGGTGTGAGAATCTTAATTACCCCATATTATCATTCCGTGGATGTTGTAAAAGGAAAGAGAGAAGAAGAAATAAGCTGATTTGGCTAAGTTTGCGTATTTGGCCGAAGTAAAGTTTTACAAAAGGTTGCGATACTGAAACAAAGTCGAAACTACAACCGGAAACTACAATTATCTCTCCTGTAAAGCAAATTATGAAGCATATCTAAGTTCAGCAGTTGGAGTTTGATAGGCTGTAATAATGACGATGATGATGATTGGACTTTATAAAAAATAAACTTTTGTTCTATGTTTTATTAATATCAGAATATAATGGTAACAATTTATGTTTTCTAAAGTTTTGTTCGTGACCTTACTATATTGAACAAGACAAAAATGAGTTATTATACGCGTTTCTGTTTTTCTATATCATGGCGACGGACGAACTTCAAGTTGACTTTGGTACGAGGTTGTGTGACAAGGCCAGTAGGATCAAATTTGATCTCATCCGGTGTGTCACTTGCGGTCTCCACTCGGTAATTTCTGAACAGTGCCACCAATCCTGCCAACATCTGCATCTTCGCGAAACGCATACCTAAAAGAAAATAAATTTTAAAATTTATACATGATTGAATTTGATGCTATATTCGAAGACGTAAAAAGTCAGCCTCTCGGAGTTCAATAGGTGAGTTTGTGGAGGAATCGTATAACTAATCGACTATCCCTTCAACAATGGGACAACCAGATGCTCGACCAGTCTCCACTGTTTTTTTTTCGACACATACGATACGCTTCGCTACTGTGTTTGGGTCTGACTAAAGATAGTCTATAATTAGAGGCTGTGAGTCATTTCATCTTAGTCGTTAAGTTGCAGGTGTCCACGGGCTGCAGGAGCCACATCAATCACTTGGATTGTAAAAAACTTTGTCATTGCAGTTTTATGGAAAAACATTAACGTCTATAATTTATAATTAAAAAAAAAATCAAGTTTCCTGTCCTTACACCACATGACTTGACATTTAGTATTATCGTAACTACAAAATTAATGGTATGACTAACTACGACTTAATTATCTACACGAAAACTTATTTGAATTGTTTGTTATCGACGTACTATTCAAATTACACGATTTGCTTCGTTGCTGTTTCGGTATGAAGGGTATAGACAGTACAATTACAAGTTGTGAGGCATTCTGCCTAAGTCCTCGGAGATGGCAATGCATCTGCAACCTTCTTCGTGTTTGAAGAAGGTTGTCCATGAGCCGCAGCAGCCAGCTCCAGCAGGTGGACTGCAAACTCGTTCGTTATTTTAGTTTTATAAAAAAAAAACATAAAAATCTATAATTTATAATTTAAGTGCAAAATCAGTTTTTGTTTAGTCACACTATATGACATGATATTTTAGTGATAACTATGATTTAACTAGGTGTAGGAAAAATTATATTTATTTTAATTATTTAAAGGTTAGCTGGTTATTTGTTGTTTATTTCTATACAAAGTTGTTAAAATTTGAAAATTAAGTTTTAACAAATATAATGATTTCTTCTAGATTTCTGACTAAAATTTGAAAATTAAGTTTTAACAAATATAATGATTTCTTATATTTACGCGAATACTACTCATTAAATAAAACTAATTTAACGGATTTTATCGCGTTTAATTTTATTTAATTCCCGATATTTTAGGTTCTTTACAGCACCCATGGTCACGGGTTCCCTATATAATATTGTAGTCTTTAGTAACGGGGGACTAAATTCTTTGACATCCCGAAGTCATAATTAACACGGCTAACTTTAGTTTTACAATATTAGTTTTTGGTCCGATCTACACAGAACGAGCTTACAATATCTTGCAGTCTTGCAGTAATATGTTTGTTATGTTCCAAGCCTGAGCAGCATCCCAAGCAGATGGTGCCACCCATCCATCTACTCTACTGAAATTAGGATGTGTTTTAGTTTTATTAGCCTCGAGTATCATCCTTAGAAGGAATTGGTGTTCTTTTCCGAGGATTTGTGGTCTATAATATCTGAAGGCGGGAACGATTTTGAACATGTTCACAGACCGCAGACTTCCCGACTTTCAGAGGTGATTCACGTTAGTGCTTTACGTCGGCTATATATTCATAAGAACATGTAACAAATAATAAAAGCTAGTAGTAGTGCAACGATATAATTTAAGACTTTTAATTTATGTTAAAAGGTTATTTTTAACGCTTTTTAGTGGACTACGGAATAATACAATTGCAATATTGTATAAATAATACATAAAAAGTTCACCCCCTATTTTGCCATCCTTAGGGTTGGGGTTTTTTCTTTAAATTCATATGGTACCACTCCTGAAGTGTATCCTATTTGATAAAAAAAAACATCAAAATCTGTTAACAATTAGACAAGATGTCGCGTAACATACACACAAAAAATAAAAAAACATACAGTCGAATTGTAAGCCTACTCCTTTTTTTTGAAGTCGGCCAAAAGTTAAGTCTACAGTTTGCGAATTTTCAACGTACAATGTTCCCAAATTTTTTTTTTTGAATTATTTAGGGGTCGGTTTGTATATACCTAGTTTATTTATTTTTTATTTTATAGAAAAAGGGTGACGAACGAGCTCAAAAATTACTTGAGGGTAAGTGATTGCTGTGGCCAATCTATCCTCCGAATAACTGATATCCCTGGGGACTAAGTTGGAATGCCTCGTTTTCTGTAAAAGGGCTCGCCGGTTCTCTATACTCACTATATGAAACTTACTAACATTAAGCTTCTATTTACGCGTTGGTCTTCCCCCCCCCCCTATCCCCGGGCGAGTTAACTCATTCGTGCCAAAATTATAGTATAGCTGCAGCTTGAGTCTTTCATGTATAAAAACTACCTAGTTTTTTCTACCCGTTTCAGTGTCGCAAAATTGGACTTTACCTTAAAGACCAATTATTTAAAGGGATATTACCTTAAAGAATTATTATTTAATTGGACTTTGCCTTAAAGAACAATTTATTTATTTATTTATTTTTATTTATTTGCTTTTTCAGGGAAACATACAGTACAATAAAAAAAATACATTATAAAACATATAAAAGTAATCCTAAAACCAATGAAGTTTCCACAGATATCTAAAACATATTAAAAGCTTGCAACCCCAATATGTTTAAAGATTGAAAAAAAAAATAACTGAATGGTATTTATAATTAAAACATTAAAGTACTAAGCATAAAATAAAAGTAATACAATACACACAACCTGTAGTGAAGCTACCAATTATAAATTAGTTTTACAATATTCTTTTTATAACTATTATATTTAAGGTGAAAAATATCTAGTTCACAATATTTTAAGTTAAAATTTTTACATGTACGAGATACAAAATTATTAGAAGCATACTTCATTTTTACTTTACGTAATGCAAAAAGAGGCTTTTTTCGTGCACCTAACCGGTGACACGCAAGATTCACTTTGCTTAAAAGTAGGGGTGAGTCGATGATATTATGTAGCAATTTGTACAACAACATTTGATCTCTTATATCACGGCGTTTTTCGAGTGTATAACTGTGTAAGCTATCAATAAAGGAGTCTACGGAAGAATCATATCGCTTTAAGTGACGCAGAAACTTATTATTGATTGTTTCAATCATTTTAACATAAACTTTGTATTGAGGATTCCAACATGAAGAGCAATATTCAAGAATAGATCGCACCAGAGTATTAAATAGTATAATTAATGTTGTAGAGTTTTTAAAATCTTTTGAGATACGCATCACAAAACCTAGCATTTTATAAGCTCTTTGAGTTATTATATTAATATGTGATCTCAGTAACAACTTACTATCCAACTGAACACCAAGATCACGCAGTTCATTTACTCTCTTTAGTAAATTATCGTCGAGCTTATAGTTAAAGACGATTGGATTCTTTTTCCTAGTAAATGAGATAATATTACATTTCTTGATGTTCAAGTAAATACGATTTGTTTGGCAATATGAGCTAAGCCTACACAGATCCTCTTGAAGTAGATTACAGTCTTCTATAGATTTAATAGATCTGAAAATTTTCATATCATCTGCAAAAAGGAGAATTTTGGAATTATGGAAGCAGGATATTACATCATTTATAAATATTATAAACAATAGTGGACCAAGATGCGAACCCTGAGGAACACCTGAACAAACTGGGAGAAATGATGGACAGTGTCCTTTTATTGCAACTGCCTGACTACGATTTCTAAGATAAGGAGATATCCATCGAAGTAAATCACCATGTACAGCGATTTGATCTAATTTGTGTATCAGAATACTATGTGAAATTTTGTCAAATGCTTTTGTAAAATCGGTGTACACTGTGTGATCAAGAAACTCGCAAAGATTACTTTCTGTAGACTTTTGACCTATAAAACCATGTTGTTCAGGAATTATAATTGGTCGAGGTATTTGGGAGAGTGTGTCATAAATAATTTTCTCAAATAGTTTTGGAATCGAGCTTAATTTTGAAATTGGACGGTAATTTGAAATGTCGTGCTTATTACCACTTTTAAATATGGGAGTTATGAATGATTTTTTTCCATTCTAAAGGCATTTCACCTAACTTGATGGAAGTTCTAAACAAAATTGCTATTGGTTTAGCTAATTGACGGTAACATCTTTGTAAAAACAAGGGTGGAATGCCATCAGGTCCTGGTCCTTTACTGACATCTAAGCGTTTTAAATACATTGAAACTTGAGGGACTGTAAAAATGACCAAATTTATACTAATCGAGTGAGCGGAGTTAGAAATCTGAGTATTATGATTTGGACTATTAACACTAAAAGCTGAGCTAAAATGAGTATTGAATAAATCACATATTTTCACAGGATCTGAAGTCGTATTATCATCTAGAAACATTATGTCAGGAAGATCATTACATTTTGGTTTTGATTTTACAAAAGACCAAAAAAATTTACTATTAATACTAATCTTATATTCAGCATTATTGATAAACTTGTTATAACAGTCGTCCTCCATTAATTTTTGTCTCTCTCTTAGTATGGCAAAAGACTTGTAATCACTATCCTGTTTATACACCTTCTAATTGCGATGAAATTTTAATATTTCATTTACAATTTTAATCAATGCGCTATTATACCAAATCGGGTACTTGGTGTTAAATTTAATAGTTTTAGTAGGTAGGTGTTTTTCTATTATATTAATTACAATTATTTGATTAGACTTTAATGCAAATACTAATTACTATTTAAATGGGCTTTACCATAAGGACCAATTATTCTGACTATACATAATCGCAATTTTTTAATTCAAATTTCAATCTTACTTAATTAATTTAAAATTTATTTCACTTTTGTAATCGACCGACAGATTGCCTAATTTATTTGTTTCTCCTTTCATTGGATACAAAATACGATATTTCAAAGTTTATTTTATAAGATTTTGGTCGCGCTATATATCTAATAAGTTCAATATTAGATTTTTTGTGATGTGATATTGTATATAACCCACGCAAACCACAATGTTTCCAACAATGTCTCCTTTGTCAAAATATGTCGAGTAATTAGCTAAAGAGGTTTTGAGGAGCCGATTAACATACATAACCACATTATTTTTTATTTCTCAAACATGTAGGTTTCGACATGTTGCTTTAATTCACTACCGAGCACATAGTCAATAAACACCTTAAAATATAATAAAAATTTCAATGATTCCGGCGGGGATTGAACCCTGTTCTTATATTCTGACAGACAAAATATTGAATTCATAATGCATTGTCATTGAGTTTCGAGCTGTGTTTAGAGTATCAAGTCTCTAACTTTAAGGGAAGTTAGTTTAAAATCTATTGTTAAACTTGTGCCGAACTGACAAATAAGTAAATAGACAGACATGAAAATGACTATATTACTTTGTCATTCAGCTCTGAGATATATTTAAAGTCTTTAGCTCATCGGGAAGTTAGTTTCGAATCGATAAAAAAAATTTACTGATCAAGGTACAACAAAACTTACAGAAACGTGGTAATAAAAATGCGCCGATTTCATTGCAGGGAGGATTGCAAATTATAAGGACGCCGGATGACCAGGGCTCTTCGTCACTGCTGCTTTGGCATCGCTTAAATCTGGCATATACGAGATGCTATATCACCTTTCATTGGTGGCCATAAGATCTTCCTATGGTTTCCCCATAATAGACTTTACGACAACCACGGGTCGATGGTTTCTATTGCGCATTTAATATTTTTAAAATAATCGACTTATACCGTTTTATTAATATTTTAAAACTGGCTGATTATTTAGTAAAAACACGTTCATTTTATTTTGTTTTTGATTTGAATAAAATTGTTATTTAAATTAAAAATGTAATCATTGTTTTTAAAAACGAGAACATACGTGATAAAAATCTAACTAACACGACATGCACAGTATTCGTTTTCGAAACGGACCTGTGAATTTGTATAGAAAAATAGAGGTTTTACAACAAGGCAATTAAAATATTAAAGCTAAAATAAGAAGTGTTCCAGTTCTACTGAAGATTAACTTTTCGGATTTTTTTTAAATATTTACATTGTTATCTTTGAACTACGCATGGAACTTTCGTCTCTTCCTCGGCTGAACACATTTCCCACCCCAGTGAGTGATCAAAGTTTTTTTTATTTACGACTTTTCCTTGAATATAAAATACACTAATGTAAAAAAGGGATAATTTGAATTTTAAAACTGAAGGGAATAAAACTTACCGATACAAATTCTTTGTCCAACACCGAAAGGTATATATGTGAAAGGTTTGATTTTCTCCCGCTCGTTTGCAAGAAATCGTTCCGGTAGGAATTTTTCAGGGTTCGGAAAGTGTTCAGGGTTGTGATGTAGACTATAGACTGGAATATGTACGCGCAACCCCTTGTCTAGACGCAAGCCTGTTGGTAGCGTGTAATCTTCAACCAACTCCCTGGTGATGGTGCTCAAGACTGGATATAAACGAAGAGCCTCATCTGTACACGCTTCGACGTAGGGCAGCTCATTCACGCAATCGTACTCAATTTTACCTCCATGGCGATGAAGATACTCGTCTACTTCCGCTATGGCTTTTAACTGTGCCTCCTGGTTCTTTGCCAGCTCATAGAGAGTAAAGCTAAGTGTTGTAGCTGATGTCTCATAACCAGCTGCAAAGAACATAACACACTGCGAGCTTAACGTATCATCGTTTACTTCCAGATGTGCTTTGTTTCCCTCTCCAGTTTTAAGATTAGTGATGCTATCGCCGGTCACAAACTGATTTTCTCTCAAATTTAACACAAGATCTACAAAGTCGTTTCTATTTGACGGCTTGTATTCCCTGCTCTCGAATACACCGATTAGTAACTTTTTAAAGAACGATATTATTTCATTTGGGAAGAGCTGATAGCCTAACGAGTAGAACACTGCAGGCCACATCGCTCTGGCATATAACTTGATGCCTCTGGCTGAAGAATTTTCGAATATTTTATCGCCCATTATTCTGTAAGGATTAGGTGTGTCATATTTTTTCATTGTGTTAGTTTCCACACCGAAAGCGCAAGAGCCAATGCAGTCCATGGTGTAACGCGCCATAAGAGAGCGCACTTCCATAATCGGCGATGTCGTGCTTTCTTCGTCTAGCATCATCCCGAATGTCCGGGCGCATTTTTCGATCAAATAAAACATGTTCTTCATTTTTGCTGAAGTAAACAATGGGGTTAGATTTTGGCGTAACACCTTCCATTTGTCTCCGTATGTAAAGAAAAGATTTTGAGTTAAAATTTCCTTCTCAGTATAGTCAGCTACCTCTCTACCGTTAAAGTAATAGAAGTCTTTTGTAGTAATAATTTTTATTATCTCTTGATCTTGAACTATGAGTGAGGGTTCTGTACCATAGAAAGCTCCGATCAACGGCTCTTTAGGGAACTCTTTACATATACGGTGTGTGATCATTGGGCCCCATTCTTTCAGTAGAATAAAATCACGATAATTACCAAAAAATGGCAAAGGTTTCAAATACGGCACATTCCTTACTTTCCAATAATTAAACTTTTTAGTAGATGAATAATACAACAAAAATAAAGTAATTGTTAAACAAAGGAGAACTAACTGTAATACCATTTTAATTTACAGTTCAGCCACCACTAACAAAATATTCTTAATTCGACGTTACCTTTGTTTTTATATACAAATGATTGACGCCATCATCGGTTAATTGTTGATTAAAAATACCATATAGTAAGAACGTTTACGGATATTCATAGAAATTTTATAAATTAATACTTAAAAAAATTTAAATATATTTCACATGATATATTAGAGTCAAAATGATTAAATGTTGAGGATTATGAGGATGCCTTAATATCTTAATATTATGTTTTCAGTTTCCAAACGAAAACGGCTACTAGAAAGAGAGAGAGAGAGAGAGAGAGAGAGAGTGAGATTGGAAACCACACTGATATCTATTGTGACCAAAGAATATCAGGAAGCAAGTGTTAAACAAGAAATAATGCTTTGCTTTAAGTAACTTATTTTGTAATTGGTTTAAAGAACTTTATTTGTACTGTAATTGTTTTGTGATTGCCAGCTAGTCTTGGGCAGAGGAAGGAGCTGTGATAATCACATTTACTTGTCTGATGGTAACCCGTTACAAACGTTTATTACACATTCGGCTCTTTAGTGAAGGCGAATTTAGTATAGGGCATCTCGGAAGTTATGAATTTTTTCTGCACATGCTCGCTGCTTGTTTATTTGGCTGTCAATGATACTCCCACCGGGCATGGCCAGGGAGCGACCAATGTTTTTTGTTATCAAAATTGTTTACACGTAAAATGGCTAGATTAAGCATTAGTGCTCAAATTTTAATGAAGAAAACGTCTGTAGTGATATAAGAAACATATTAATTTAGAATTATTCTTAGTAAAGATAAAAACAGTTAAGTCATTTCATCAAGTCGTTCTCGAGATATTTTGGAAACTTACAAACATACTATTTCTGGATGAGTTAAAAATCCTTAATTTGTAGTTAGAATGCATTGTTACCCTCATTGGTCATTATTTAGTCATTATTTAAAGTGATACTATAATGTCCTTAAGTACTTGTAATTATCTTATACTTGTATCTAAATTGTGGTATTTTTTATTTATCTGTCACACGTGTTCTGCGAATACCGTTTAAACCAAATACCTTCTATGTATTTCAGATGTTTTTTTAAGTTGGTGTCGTTATTTTTTGTTTATATAGTGCGTATGATATGTGCATAATTTCTACGTATTGTAAATAGTTTCAAATTACTTAGTCGGGTCATAAGTTCTGTCAAAACCATATTATTTAAAAATTTTAAATACTGCCTCGATGAACTTCATCAATTTTGAAAATATAACGTTTGCGCTTGCCGAAAATAAAAAAGACATTCATTTTCAAATATGAAGTGGTCGAAGAAAGAAGATAAAGTAGCGTTTATCGCGTTGCACCGCTGTGGTTACACGCCAAAAGAGATTTTCAATATTCCAAAAAAATTGAAAACCTTACGATTTGTATATCATACTATCAAACGATACACTGAAGATTCAAGCTTCGAAGATCGTAAGAGGACCGGCCGAACTCGTACATTTAGGACACAAGCGATCATCAACGCAGTGAAGGCGTGAATCCAACGATATCCTGTTCGTAAACAAAAATCTTAGCTCTTGAGATGGGCCTAAGCAGAACCACGGTCAAAAGAATTATAAATGAAGACCTGGGACTACGAGCTTATAGTAAGAACACCAAACATTTTTGAACGAGCGTTTGAAAAAAACTGGGCTGGATCATAGAATACTATAATACACAATAGAATAGCTGTCAACCTTATTTTGTACGAGGATCGACGTCGCCGGGAGCACACACACAAGCAATTACGTCGTTTATAACTACTATAAACCCGATTCGCTGTGTTGACAGACTGAGCGAATTTACACATATTGGACTTTTGAAGGAATTAATGTTCACGATCATCATTAAAAAAACAAATCGCTTAAATTTTAATACATATTTATTTGTATATAGTGTGAAAACTAATCGAAATATAATTGCAGTAAGTATCATTTTATTCTTATTGTAAATAAAAAGTTGTTGAACATGTTTAAGATGCGTAGCATCATATTAGCCTGTGCATTCAGGCGAATATGATGATACGCATAATGGTACCACCGCTAGGGATGTAGTCTTGTTTAGTGACTTACCGGTAACCGTTAAGCACCGGTAAAACTTGAGTGTATTTATTTTGAAATATTTCAATAATATTTTTTGTTATTAATTTTGTACAATTTTATACTAAAAGATAAATACTAAAGTATTCACTTTGTAAAAGTGCAATGAAAACAATATTTAGTATGTACCAAATATATGACGCTTTGTAAATTTTGCGATTAAAAGATCCAAAATTTTACTTTAAGAAATATAAGACAAAAACGTAATTTACTACCAAATTGTATTAAAGTTAGATATAAATATAGTTGTTCAGGATCATGTGTTTGACAAATCCATACTTTACCATTATAATGCGAAGTCTCAAAATTTTATGGTTAAACCGCTGAATCTATTTTTACAAAATTGAGATAGTTTAATGCCTGTTTAAACCAAAAAAGTATATATCACATATATCTATATATATGTAGCTATTACAGCTAAGTAGGCTGTAAAGCCGTTAAACCGCCAATTTGGATAAAAACGCTAAGCCATTCAACCGATTTTGATACTCAGATGGCTGGTAATAATAAAAAGTCTAGGTTACATTTATCCTCAAAGTGATAACGTAATATGAATGAATTCCAAATGGAAGAAAACGTCTTTAAATTAGTATTTCTTTATTATTTGTTATCTTTGAAACGTATTGACCTGTTTACCTACGTTAGTTAACATACACAAATTGCAATAGATTGCTATGAATACAAAACTAACTAAAACTAAAAGATGGTCTATTAAGAAGGTACTTACTCCTTTAATAAATAATACCGTATTTACGGAATAATAAAATTTATTCAAAGTTATGAAATAGAAACATTTATTAAAAGCTTACTAAGCCGTAACAATTCAACCCATCCGTAATCATTAATCGATCGAGTGTGTATGTCTGCTATGTATTATTTATGTCCGGATCTCCTGAAAAACTGCAAAAATGGTTTATGGAAATAAAAAATATAAAAAAAACTACTAATAGCAGTAAATAGTACAGTATAGGTAAGCCAACGCAAGGCAAGCGCGAAATCGGATGAAAAAGTATGAACATATATATTTTGAATAAAACTATTATTTACGGATTTTATCGCATTTGATTACTTTAATTTATTTTTATTATTATCCCGACGTTTCGGGTGCTTTTACAGCACCCATGGTCACGGGGGGACTGAGATGTTTGACGTCCCAATATCATAGTTAGTCCGGCTACCTTCAGTTTTTTTAATATTAATTAATTTTAGTTTTTTTTTATATTAATTAATTAAGTTTTTTTTAATATTAATTAATATTAAAAAAACTGAAGGTAGCCGGACTAACTATGACATTGGGACGTCAAACATCTCAGTCCCCCCCCGTGACCATGGGTGCTGTAAAGCACCCGAAACGTCGGGATAATAATAAAAATAAATTAAAGTAATTAAACGCGATAAAATCCGTAAATAATAGTTTTATTCAATGTGTAGTGTTCGCGTAAATTTAAGAAATCTCTATATATATATATTTTTTTACTTTTAACACGAAATGGGTCCACTCCACTCTTTGTGGGTAATGAGGTGTGAGGTGAATATGTAGTATAATACTATATAGTAATTAACGTAACCAGAAAATCGAATCTAAAAACTTTATTGCAAATTTTTAATGTTGTCCTATATATCAGGAGAGGAGAGGGAACAAATTTACAATTTGATGAAAAATTTTAAAATTGAGTTTATTCGTAGGTCATTAAATTAATATATCGTATCTATTTAGCTTTTCATTAGCCCACTACAAATTTAAAAGTGACAATATTTTCCGGCTTATCGGTATCGGTAAAACTTTGTTACATCTCTAGTGCTTCCAATATCTGTTGTTTTTGACACATCGTTATTTTTTTATTGGTAACGTCAAAAGAGATGTGTTGACATTTATACGTGTGAATCGATATGTTAGTGACAAATTAGTGGCTGATCGGGCTCCGCCCACTCCCCCGTTCTATTATATATGTATTATAGTATTCTATGTATATATATATATTTGTTATTGTTTTATGTATATATTTGTTACGGAGGTACGCGGGAAAAAATACCGCAAAATTTTGTTTTCGGATGAAAAAATTTTTAACATCCAAGAAAGTTATAATAAACAAAACGATAAGGTTCAAGGCTCACGGCAGTTAAGAAGCCAGCACGCATATTCCGAGATCAGAATTTGGAATCTCTTCGAGCATCTTTGGCAAAAGCAGCGGCAGAAATAAATATGAGTGTGATGCGTGCTGCAATTGATGATTGGCCGCGTCGATTAAGGATATGTATTCAAAATGGGGGGGGGGGCATTTGGAATAATGTAAATAAAATTGTAAATAATAAAAATAAAATTACCTTTCATTTCATATATAATTTCTATATAATTATCAAAAAGTGACAGAACTTACGACCTGACTACGTATATGCGTAATTGACATTGTAATATGTATTTGAGTAATTAATTTTCATCGTTCATTGCATCTTGTCAAAGTTCACTGCTGAAAATGGGCCTTCCTTTAGATGGACTCATAAGGTGTTTGCTACCTAAACGAGCCAAAAGGGCACATAAGTACCGCAATAGCATTACTAAAACACAGAGCCAGGGATCAAAGAGTAGCGAAATACTCGGACTATGTTAGCCAAAAAATATGGGCTTAGATTAGAATCTTGTGTGTAAATATTAAGCCAGTAACCCTGTTGGTACATTTTTTAGACCTTTTAGTTCTAGATTAA